TGGTTTGATTTCTACATAGAGAACCAAGATCGATCGGAAAATCAGTACAGGTATCATATGTCAGTGGTGTTACTAGAACGTTCTCCCACGCCGAGCATAACTTCATTAGAACCTTCACTCTGAAGCTGCTTACCTCTGGTTAGCAATTCCCGCTCGTTAGGTGTAAATTTGACCTCTCTGAAGGGGTAGCCGACTATTCGAACATTTTTTCACAGATACTACTTACTAATTTACGATGTTCACCGACTGTCACCAAGGTGAGCAACATCGCCTGCCCAATTTAAGAAAAACTGTACATATGAAGTAACTGGGAATTAGATTTAAAAAATAAAAACTTGAAGTTTTTGGAACGAAAATTTTACGTAGCATCAACGAGCTGGCCAGTGCTTTCATCCAGGTCGTAAACGCGAAACGATGGATTGACGGAGCCAGCTCCAGGCAAACTGCTAAACCAAGGCGTTACAGACGGCGCTAGTAAATAGACTTGTACGGCTGCATTCCCTCGTTTATCCTGAAATAGAAGTTTGCAATTGCTCAGATTCAGTAAATTAAAAACCGGCAACTTATCTCCTGTGTATTTGCCTTATTCATTTGAGCCTACTGGGGTTGGTTATTTTGACAACAATTTAAGAAAACGAAACAAATAACAATAATTCATCTATCACTCCACTTCATCCATCTGTTATCCCCCATTCTTCCAAAAAAGCAATTCTTGCTTTTATCTTTGATGTAAAATTTCAACATCTGAGCTTAATTGCTGCCGAGTTGTAATACCTGTGCAGACACATACAAACACACTCGATTTGTCGCCAAAAAATGTTTTTTTGCATTTGCATTCATATGCAAAAACGCATAAAAAGTGCAGATTTTCAAAGGAGACGCAGTAAGAGTCGCTATGTTTATCACAGTATCAGACTAATAAGCAGCTGCTTACTTGCCTTAATAATGTGAAAAGTGTCAGTATGATGATGTCCAAAAATCATCCAGCCGATTGTGCGGGCATATTTTACGGTGATATCAATAAAACGCTGATTGTATTCCGGTACCATCCACGTAAAGCCAGGCGTTCGTTCGAATACTAAAGTCATATTCCCTATATGTCTGATTGAGGACATTTTTTAAAATCAAATTCAAAAAGAAATATACAGTGAGTAAAACTATCAAGACATTGTCCAGAGAGTTACTGTCATACTAATATTTGAAATACCAAAAAATCTAACACTGTTTGGGCAATCAGAACTAAGTATCCTATCTGCGGAAAACCGGCGAAAAAGGAGCAGAAGAGGCTATAAAATAATACATACTGCCCTCCTCAAAAGCAGGTAAGAAGAGGAAGGGTTTATGTTCCAAAAAAGACAGATATACAGTAGATGTAATCAGAGTCTGCTCATACAGTACGAAACCTTGCGGTGTAGTGGTTAGCACGCAGCGCTCGAGTGTGAAGACGAGTGGTTCGATTTTCTTCTGGCCTAACAGTTTTTTGTAAGAGAACTTTGTTCATGATGGTTAATGACACTGGTGGAATAATACCCTATGGCAGACACAATTTTAAATTACAGAACAGAAGTACTGGAACATAGAAAAAAATATTGGGATAAAAAGAAGTTGGAAAATAGGGAAAGGAATACTGAAACTTTAAAATACAAAATAGAAATATTGACAAAATAATTTTATTTGGATTTGTAAGAAATTTGTCAAGAAAAATATCAGCAAAAACTTGCCTCCAGGAGCAATATGCGCTATGACATTAACAGTTTTGTTGGTTGCCTGTGCGTTTTCAAGAACATCAATCAAAAAAGCAAATTGTCCGGCTGGATCTTTTTTATCAACGAAATCGTTGATTGCTGGATTGAAGCGATAGTACAGATTTGTGTTGAGCGCTACAATAACTGTTTTAGCATTCCACTGATGTTTATAATAGCCAGCTTTCTGGAACGTCTCCTAAAATAACAATGGTGCTTACATTGATTTTTGAGATTAGCTGCAATTCAAAGCTTATTTTTCCAGTTTCACAGCTGGAAACTTTTCCA